GAAGTAGGAAAAGCCTGCAGTTATTAACTGGTGCCTGGACTGGTATAGGTGTCAAATCTAATCTGTCTGTTTACAATATTTGTTCATGTTTTTGTATTTGATAGCTAGAATTGCAATGTTGCAACAAATAGTTATTGAAGATATTAATATTTGTTGGGGATATGTGATTATATGCAAAGAGTTTTCTGTGGCCGAGACATCAGTGTGCTTAGAGACTTGCACCTCCGTACTTGTGTTGTTGGTGGTGAGAATGTTACATCCTCCTCTCTTCCATATTGCGACAGCAAGGTTGTGCATGATGGCACAAAGCTTAGACAGTCCTGGAGAAATGCTCTGCTGGTTTTCATTCCAGTGCTAACTTATGACTCAACTGATGTGCTTGCTTGTTAAAACTTTCATTTAATTTGTTTCTTCAGCCAGTGCAGAGGGTCAGTAATCTGCTACTTCAAGGGCACAATTTCCAACAACGTCAGCTCACAGAAATTTACACTGCTTCTCTCCAACTTGTTTGACATTCTGCTTCAACAGTTAGTCATCCAGTTAATCAAGTGATAAAGAACATACACAGGTATGAATGAGACACCCACAGTGTTTTTTTTTCTTCGGAGGTCCACATGGCTATGGTTTCAGGCAACACACCTTAGTGAGGACACTTCTAAAACTCTGCAGTTGGTCCAGGGATGATACAAATTACAAGTCACATTTGACCCTTTAAGAGCTGAACGCAAATTTACAAATATGCTCCAAACAGAAAACTAAAATGAATGTACCAGTGATTAAGAACATGACTGGTCAAAAACTGAATAGACGGTGATCCTCCAAGACCAGGGTTGGGAATCAGTGTGTTAGAGTACTGGTGACTAAGGTCTGACAAACATGGACATGTTTTGTTTTTGGATAAAAATGGACACAATTTCTCTGTTGAATAATGTTTAGAAATATAAGTTATTTTTTGTCTTTGCTACAATAAAATAGCCTTGCATAGCCAACACTATAGGAGGTTGCCAGTTCTCTACAATTCTGGTTCTTGGTCATATTGTGTGACATGCTTATTTAAGAAACACAACTGATCAGTGGTAATGTCCCTTTTAACAGAGAATTAATCACAGCTCTGAATTGTAGATTACAAAATTATCACTGCATGTATTGCACAATGACCTGACCCTGCATATCTTCACCCCTACAGCTGACAGTTTACTGCGACAGTGTATCCGGTTCAATCCTATTTTGGCGAGCTCCTCCATGTCATTTTTCCTTGGACCTTTGCTTGTACCAACTGAGAGGTATAGCTTCCTCTCTCCCCTCTCGCTTCCTCCCGATGATGGGATTTCAGGCTGCGCTAGGTGAACCGGGCCAGGAACTTCTGAGAGCAGGCCAAAGTGCCTCAGAAACACAGCAGCTCCAGTTACAGTCACGCCTCAAGTTCATGCATGTTGCCAACGAAAACGAACCCCCTTTGACTCGAACCCCCTCCCTCCAAAAGATAAAAAGGCTCAACCCAGACAACTGACTGAAAGGACTGAACCGCTCTGGCACAGTGAGTGCAGTCTTATCTCGGAAGAGCCCAGGGGATGGATGGGAGCACCCTGGAGATTAAGGCGCACGGTCATGTTTACAGGAAAAACACGCTACGATGGCTGCGTGCGCCAGCTAGGTGACAAGTCAAGCTGGTTCTCGACAAGAAGATCCCGCCCCCAGCACTATGCCCATATGCTGCCGCTCACTAATGAAAGGCGACGGGCGTTGAAGCTCTCAAGGGACTAATTCTGTGCGAATGGACTCCCCAGTGGGTTAGCTGCTCTCGAGAGGCCCACATTGGGGCAGCGCGCAGAGCTTTTAATGCACTGCAGCCACTTCATTAATTCTCCCTCTGTTTGAAAAGGCAACATTGAGTCATTTGGCTTGTATTTGTATTGTGGATTCCTGTATTTACATAGGTGCTCTTCATCTGTCACAGTGGTCAGCCTTTAACTCCAATTTAAATTTAACTCTTGAAGGGTTTAATGCAAGCAATGGCTTATAGATATGAATATTAGCTACCAGTGGCTTTTTACTTCTAGTGCAGTTGTCTGCCTAGATAGGCATTATCATTAAATGAGATTTGTGCCCCTAATCAACAGGAAAGAGGAATAAAAATATATAAGCTTTTAACATGAACAAATAAGAGCTTTATTCAGTTTTAGTGCTCTTCAGTGCTCTAATCAGGCTCTGTGTTTTATAGGTAGTTATCTGAAAGTAAAATAGGATTTTGGAAGCCCCGCAAACAGTTGTGGGACTTTCAAAATCTTAAATCTTTTATGGACTCTATATATCAGTCCCCCAAAGCTTAAAAAGCTTAAAACATGAATGTGTAGCACACAAGATAACAGAGTGGAGGAGAGTTGCATCACTGGCTTTGTGCACTGCTGTCTTTCTATTCATCACGCAAGGCTCTGGTTGACTGACTGCTCTCAAAGGAGCCATGTTCGTAAGGAAAACAGACTTTCCCCGGCAATCTGTAATCAAAAGCAGGGTTTCTGTAGCTAACTGAAATTCAATTAATGCACACCATTTAGCTGGCAACAAGACTGTGAACAAAATGGGTTCAGGAGTCTGTCATTTCAAGTAGGTTGCATATTGTGCACTAAATATTAAACATTTTGGGAGTAAAACTAGTCAGTGTGTTGGTTACTCCAGATATTTATATCAGAGGGCAAATAACTAGAGCACAATAACTAGAAGTGCAGACATACTGGAAACGGTAACCTGCTTAGATTATTTTTATCTTGATAAAATGTTGTGGCGTGGCACTGAGTTAGGAAGCTCAGCAGTCACTGACGCTCAGAAATGCACATTTTGTGGGAAGAATTCTAGGCCTAGTCTTCTTGTCCTTCATGGTACCATTCACTGTAGCAGTTTTTTTTGCCGTTCCCATTGGAAATGTTCAGTTCTAATTGTATGTTATCTCTATGCTGTAAACACAACCTTGAGTGGAGGAAATTAAATCCAGATGAGCTTCATGCAGACTCACCTCCAGGGTGCATCTCTGGGCTGTAAAGGCCTAATTTGCCCTCTGCTCAGCTCTCTTTGTTCTTGAATGCTATTTTTATTCCTTGTGGGACTTCCAGCCCAGGGAGTTCAGCTGGCAGAAAACAGAATGTGACTTTTTGTTTGGGACTGTATACTAGAAATGCACATTGTAAAGACAATAAATAATTTATTTTGCCACTTCCTTCAGTAACGTCAATGGTGAGCTTTGTTTGGCCAGGAAACCTAAAATATTCCAAATATAAGCAGGTCTTGTTGATTGTCTGGAAAAGAGTATTTCCTTTCCAAAAAGAAATATACACTAACCTTTGGTCTTCATCGGAGCTCTGTACCTTTGTCATTTCCTCGCAAGCATTTCTCAGGGTTCATATTGGAGACAAATGCTCCCATCTAGTGGTGATTTGTGGAAATACATCAAAATACAAAAATGGGCTCTTCAGACTTTTTAAGAAGCCTTGCATTTTTTGGCATGGATTTTATGGCTGTTATAGTTACAGCACTGGAACGTCAAGAGCAAGGTATTGGACAGAACCTTCTATATAAAAGTTATGGTGCCCTTAATTTGAAAATGATTCACAGTTCACTTAATCTAGTGGTTTAATAAATCGGTTACATCATTTTGAAGGAGCCCACTTTATTGAAATATGGCAGTTTTCTAAAACTCTGTGCACCTACAGCGTGCCATTTTAAGAAAAAAATTCACTTATCCTACTGGAGGCTTTGTCAAGAAAAAGCTTAATGAATTTTTTTTTAAAAATTACAGTATCCTCTAACAATAATGGGACCACAAATTCAAAACTGCGGTCAAAAAATTGTTTTTTCATGAGATGAGTATGAAAAAGTACAGTATCCCTTGTAATTGTATAAAACCAGTAGTATTAGAACAAAACCAAACATTATTTTTACCAACCCAATGATTTCCAATAAGCATATGTATTGGGACATTCACCTGAAGTAAATTTCAGAGTGTAAAAGTCAGTATTTGTTGTACATCACTTTGAGGCAGTAACAGCATGACGTCTGACCCACTGAGCTCACGTTAGTCTTAATTTAATTGTTTTAGCTGTTCTACCAGGCGTTTGCCACAGCTATTTTGAGTTTATTCTTTGGGTGTTCTGACCTTGTAAATGTGAAATTTTGCTCAGTTGGACTGAAATCTGGAGACTGACTTGATTTTCCACTTTTCACCCAATGAACTGAAGTTGATTTACCTGATCAGTTTTCCTTAACCTTTGTTTTTTTGAGTCATTCTCATACTGCATATTGAAATGCTACTCATAAGTTTAGAAACATTTTCTTCTACTTAGACCCCCAGTCATAGGTCTTTTAGGCCTGTATTCTTGGAGGAGTTTGCAGTTCTACAGAGATCTGCATGGAGTACTGACACACAGAAGTCATGATGGATGGATTAAGACCATTATTCATTTATTCCTTTTTTTAATTGCATAATGTCAGCATACCCAAAGGGGTTGGGCAGCCAGTTGATGTTGGACCCCTAGAGTTGTTTTTTCTCCTTACTAAGGAGTTTTTGGTTCCTGTCCTCCGTGAGCTTCTGGTCTTTTCCATTCTGTATTCACAACGTGTATGGTCACTTGCTTTGTTAAGCGCCTTAGGGCAACCTTGTTGTGAAAGCCGCTATATAAATTGAATTGAATTTAATATTTTCACAAGGATTTTTCTATAAAATTCCTGAGTTTCCATTAGTTGTTCTTAATGCAGGCTGTGGAATTAGACATACATACAGTATGTAAGTAGTCAGCTGTATACACTGCAACTTATTGAGCTTTTATTTTGCTTGTCCACTGCACAGCAATTTAAAAATGAGTGTTTGTGTGCCCTCTGGAGCTTCATCAGCTCTTTACACAGCAGACTGTGTTGCGCGGAGACTGAAGGTCAGCCAGCTGGGTGCTGGAGTGCAGGAGGACAGGCTCAGGTTGTGTGTCTGATCCTTTGCTGTGCTGTGTGTGTTTCAGGCTTGCCACGGCTGTGCTTCGGGATCAAAGTGTGACTGCAGTGGAGTGAAAGGAGAGAAGGTAAGACTCCTGCAAAATATTATCTCCAGACACGGTGATGTTAAGGTCTTCCTGTCGACTTAAGATGCCTTCTCATCATCAACCTCATATTTTCAGCTCCCTGTTGCTCCTTGGGGTTTCATTAAGCTGCTTTTTACTCGAGCAACCTGAATGGAGTCCTACAAGGTTGAACCTGCAACCGAGTGCAAACTGCGCAGCCTCCAGCTATGATCAGACATGCTATTGTGATCGAGTGTCCTGATGACAAATATTAATCACCACACTGAATTTACCCCCTATCACATCTGTGCAGATGTAAAACATAATGTTTTTTTTTCCTGAAAAAAATACAAAATTATCTGTAGAAAAACTGGTTAAATTCTACATTTCATAATTTTTCCATTCACTCATATACATGTGTGACATCTAATATAGTGAATGTTTCAACATTACAGTTAGAGGGAAAGTGAAAAAGCAGTGTTCTGTTTTACTCAGTATTTTTTTGTGTTCTAACATACATTCAGATAAAAAATGTTTCTGAAATATTAGTAATTTGTCATGAAGACCAAGAACTTGTGCCTTTACTCTGTTGTTTTACAGTGGAACACCTGTCTGGATAAACTATACCAAGGAAAGAATTAGCTATTCAAATTTTCTGGGCATCTTTAACATTTCACTAGCAGAATTTCCTTTTTTTGACTAATAAATATCTTTCATATTGCGTTGATAGACTGTGACCTTCTATTGTAAAAAAGAAGCTTGCAGGATATTTAGTACGATCAATAGGAAATGATGTTCAGTAGTAGTGTATGGCTTCTGGTGGAAATCTGGCATTAACTCTCTGGGCTGAGGGACTGACAGCCAGGCCTTGAGCACCAGACTGTTGGAACCCAACCAGCACATGACTGGGGCCCAGAAAACTGCAGCAGGGGTCTGGAAGGCATGAAGCAGTTCAGTTTCATATCTTACACAGGGTTTATAGCCAAATGTCTGATGTGTTATATGTTGTCGAAGTTTAGTTCTTCTAAAACTTACAGAACATGCAGTGAATAACTGATGTCATTTAAAACAGCTGAAGCAACCCTTGTAGTGGTATAATACTCCTCTCTTGTTATACATGCACTTTCACACTTTTGTGTGGAAACAGGTGGGCAGAACTGGTACCAGGTGCTGTCTTGTTAGCTTTCTGAATAGTACGTGAATGCTTCTTCGATAAACATGAAAAAAGAAAAAACTGGCTACTTTAACAGGGGACATAGTTTGTTTTTCTTTATGTGCAGATGGGGAGCAGGACCTGTTAAAACTACCCCATGGAGCAGTTACTTTAAAAATGAAGGTGTCTTACAAATATCTGTCACTAGTTAACGGTTTTGTTTAAATAAATCTTTTAAATGTCAAGTTCCTGTCTTCAACCCACAAGCGATTCGAAGTATTGTCATGTGTCTTTGTGTCGGGATTTGAATGCGTGGCTGTTTTTGATATTGAAATGTATGAACACCTAGATGCAGTGCTAGACAGACTGCCACTTATGGTAGAATGGTAACAATCGGGCCTTAGGCTGGTGCCATATTGGTTTGAACCCTAGCCTAGTCTCATAACTTTAACTCCTTCCAGTGTTACTTCACATACAGCTACCTATGTCGACTGAGCTCTCTTTAGTCTCTGGTTGCCTTATATTTAGCTATTTGTGTGGACCCAGCAATGTGGTACCAGTGTCTGGTTTCTCTTCCCAGGGTGAAAGGGGTTTTCCAGGATTACAAGGCCAGCCTGGGTTGCCAGGCTTCCCTGGACCAGAGGGTCCCATCGGCCCCAGAGGGGAGAAGGTAAAAAGCATTGCTTTGTGGACTCCTTACAGCCCCATTCCTCTGTGTGGCTGCTTGCATCTGCCTCGTTGTCGAGGTGACCTGACTGACCGGTCAAACAGTGGGCGTGTGCTCTGATGCTTTAAACTGACACAATCTCGCTTCTGAAGCCCCATTGTATAGTTATACCCAAGAGCAGGACAGAAGTAAACTTGGTGTTTCGATGACGTCAGTATGGCCCTCAGCAAAGCCCAAGCACTCTCTGGCATTGCTAATCGAGCTTTTGTACAGGTTTTAAGAGAGCACAGTCTTTTTCTTTTATTCCCCACAACGATAATCCAGTATGTTGAAACTGCCATTGTCCAGCATGACCACCTTGATTATTCAGCGAGCTGTTGCTGCTGTAAGTGAATGTCATGTAAAATGTGACATGTAAAATGTAAAATATAGTTGGACGCTTAAATGCTGTGAGTCATCAGATCAGCCAAACCAGCTAAACATTCTGTTGTTACCAGTGCATAGGAGGTTAGAGTTCCAGCGTACCAGTGTTCACCTCATACACTTTCACACATACTTGCAGAACTGTGTGTTCTATTGTCTTGGCTTCTTCCCCTGCATGTTATTTCAAAAGAGATGCACCAGTCTGATCAGGGGCAGGTGTTTTTAGGTTGACAGCCCATTGATTGTGTGATTGGATCCCACATACAGGTTGTCATGCTTTTTCTGTCTTCCAGGGTGAAGAGGGCCCTCTAGGGCCAGGCGGACCCAAGGGAATCAGGGTGAGTACCGACTTCAGACTCTTGCTCTACAGTGCTCTAACACTGCCCTTCCAAACCTCAGTGTATGATGGAATGGGTTATTCACAGTGTGATCCTTCATAAAGAAAGGAGCAGGTTATTCTAAATAGGGATGGAGAAAACGTGCAGTATATAGTCTGCTAAATACAGTGGCTGCCTACATACAGTATTAGCTAACAAGCCTGAAATACTTAAGTCCTTCAACTTGTAACCAAAACACACTTGCTGTATGTAATGCAAGTAATTAATTCACTGACTTTTAAACTTCTTAACTCATTACTTTTGTAAAAAGATGGTATCAACTACATCCTTTTATTGTTATAGCTCCGTTCCCCTGTAGGTCCCAGAACTTTAGCTTTTCTCTGATTATTAAGCAATGAAATGTAGAGTAATGTTCTTGTGTATTGCGGGTTACATTAGACAGGTTGAGCAAGCTTACAGGGCTCATCAAGTTGGAATTGAGAGGTTCCAATGTGCTTTTGGCTAATGTGTGTCTGATGTCAGCCTTGCTGTGTCCTGACTGGTTGTTCAAAGGGTGTTACACAAAAGGACATTCACTATGTTATTCTTTGTTTCTAGGGGCCACCCGGGCTGCCAGGATTCCCAGGAACTCCAGGACTGCCAGTGAGTTCTACCCCGATTTCCACTCCTCTCTCTGTGTACCCCATTTTTGGTTTGTCTGTCTCTGTCTTTTTCTCTCCCTGTCCATTGTTTTTCCTCTCCATCTCTCGCTCTTCTCCTCACTGTTCATAGCTTTCACACTTCACTTTCAGCCCTAGTCCTCTGAGCTCTTCTCCTGTTTCTATCCTGTGCTCATCCTGGTGTCTCCCTCTGCTTCCTTTCCCAGCCTTTCATTGACTCATTCTGTGTTACTGTACCTCAGTGATGGGTTTCCTTTTCTCTGTTCTTTTGCTGTAGGGTTTGCCTGGACAGGATGGCGCCCCAGGTCCGAGAGGAATAGCAGGATGTAATGGAACAAAAGTGAGTCTGGGCTGCCTCGCTATCTGGACTCGAGTGACCAGGACTGTTTTGAACTGGGGCGCTCTCGGATATGTACAGACGTATGAACTGCAGTGTCATTTTTGGTGGTTCAGATGCCCTTAAGCAGGCCTAAATGCAGTGTACATTAGCTCTTAGACAACATTAACTCAAAACTTATAAACTTTGTAATTGTTTTATTAACACGTGCTTTCTATAAACATCAAAATAAGGTTGTCATTTAGGAATCTGTAATTCTCATAAAAAACTGTTCACACCAACCCAAAATAGCCCCATCCATTGGCCGCCAGTGCAAAGTGTTGTCATAGCTACTTTACTCATTACTTTACCAGTCAAATCAGACTGGCTTACTGTCAGGTTCTCCTGTCTACACAACCTTCCTGCTAAAAGACTTTGAACTGACCAATACAGATTTTACCGGTATTAACATTTCACTTGAAACAGCTGTAATTTCGAGAAAACAATCGCTCCTGCACAAAAGAAAGGAAAGCAGTGAGTGAAGCTGAACTTTGATTCTGAGTGTCTAGACCTGTTCTGTACTGTATATCTGCAGCTTTGTAGGTACACTTATATACATGTGTGGATTTTAAGTGTCAAAAGCTGCTCTCCTTTGTGCTACATGCACTTGCAAAATGTATTTTGAAAAGGTGTTCTTTCAGGTCTAAGCAGCTAAATGTAACATACAATTTAATAACGTTAGTGCTACCAAAAGATGCTAATCAGAGAGTCGGTTATAGATGTGAATTTGCTGTGTAGTACCAGTCATTGTTTTGATACAGGTTAAGTGAGGCTAGTGTGTTTGCTCACCTGTGCTGTAAGGGTCTTGGTGGGACCATGGGAATCATTTGACAATATAGAAGGAACCAGGAGTAAACAGGTGAATGAAAATGTGTGTTTTTGACCTCAGGGTGACATAGGACTTCCAGGAAGCCCAGGTTTTCCCGGTTTACAGGGCCTTCCGGTAAGTGGAACATTCTGACCTCAGTTCCTGTTATGTCAGATTTCTACTAGGTACTGAACCTTCCCCATCACGTAATGTGTCACACTAGACGTGATCTCTTCTACATCTTTTCTAGTCGCTCTTCTAAGACTGATTCCACACTTGGCTTTTAAACCTTTTAAAATTTGGCCACATCCTGAGTGTCTAATGCTGTTCCATTATTCCATTATCTGTTCCGTTATTTCAATACTCCTAATGGTGGAGAACTAGCTATTCAACACATTCTACAGATAGATGCCAGTTTTCCAGAAACATACTATTTTAAAAGCCACTGATCTTTATGAGACACATTTGTGATACTCGGTGCACTGTGCCACCTAGTGGGCAGTCTGTCGGATTTTCTTTGCCACAATGGGAACTGAACATTGTACCACAGTTCAGTTTAGTGAAAACGTATAAAGTACTGCCTCCCTTGTCAGACAACATTTCAGGAGTGGATATTGGAGAGTGGAAGTCAGCAGTCTGCCAACTGGTGCTCACTATAGTGAGGTGAGCTTTTGAAAGAAGAACTGTGTAACTGACAGTGTCCATGTTTTTCTTTTCTTTAGGGTTCTCCTGGTCTGCAAGGGTTAAAGGTAAGTCTTCCTGTATGCCCTTCCAGTCCTCCACTGTTTATAGTTACATTCTGTCTGCTGCCTGATCCATCTAAGGCAAATTGCCTTGGAAGAACATGAAAGAATTTCACTTCTTCATTTCAGCTATACGATTTTATTTCTAGTTTAAATTATAAACGCTGTATTTTATCATTAAAGGCAAGCTGCTCTAAGCCATCTGTTTTTAATTTCTGTACCATGGCTTAGATTTCAACTTTATTCAATACAGCTTTTTAATCAGCACAGCATTTGGTCTTAAAAAATATCGAGTTAGATACGAATGTGACTTTTCCCATTTCCAATTATTGTTATTTTCTGGGAAATCCAGTGCACGTGCGTTTGGGAGCCGGAGTTGTCCTGTCAGTGTCTCTCTAGGGGGCGCTACTTTCTGCGCTGCTCTTATCAACCAGTGGCCTTAATGTCATCCAGCCCACAGCCTCACCTTATCTCTGTCTGTGTGTGCTTACAGGGAGAACCCGGAGAAGTGATCGGATCAAATGTTTTCGGTCAGAAGGGGGAGCCGGGTCTGCCCGGGCTTCCGGGGACGCCGGTAAGTTTGTTCTTGGTTACAGCTCAAATTTGCTACCAGTTCCTGAAAGGTATTACTCCTACACCTACTTGTACGCTGTCCCCTTGGTGGACTGCGCATATTGTCAAAGTACTGTTGAGTGTGTTGAGCCAGGCGTCCATATTACCAAGCAGGTCAGTTCTTCAGAAAACGTATTGCCTTGAATTGTCATACTGGGTAAATGGGCTCTGGCTGTATACCTTATCTGAGTCTGACTTTAGGTATTCTTCTTTACCCTTGTTATTCCATTTCTGCGACTGTATATTTAACAAGGCTTTTAAAAAAGATTAATGATGGTCTTTCACCTGACACTCAACGCTAGTGCTAGGTTAGGTGCATTTTGATGCTTCTAGAATATGTGCATGCAACACTTGGATTAGAAGCAGGCACCCCGTGTTTTGATACCTTAGAAATATAGGAAGCTGGGTTTTAATAGCTGTCAGTAATAAGGGGTTACCTGTTTTTAATATTACCTCCAGCTTGTGGCCATCAATGGCAAGGAGCTGAGCTGGAACAGACAGGAAATAAACGCACGGCTAAGATGCACGGGTGGATTGTAGAATGGCCTGAGAAGTGCTGTGATGTGCATACTCCCTGGATCGGAGTTTTCTGTAATTGTCTGGTGTCTTTCAGGGTGTCCAAGGTCCAGTCGGCTTCATAGGCCCTACTGGCCCTCCTGGGCCTCCTGGCCTCGAGGTGAGAACTTTCCATTTTATTTTGTTGCAGAGCTGATTTAAAAAAAAAAAACAGCCACAGTAAGCGTCGGTCCCGGTTTGAATTTGCTTCGGCAGCACATATACTAAAATTGGAACGATACAGAGTAGATTTGCATGGCCCCTTATGAAAGCCAAGCAATTATATTTCTTTCCAGAGATGGCTAAAAAAATTCCCTAATAGGGGTACAAGTATTAAATCAATTCTTCACTGTGTATACTTCTTGTTGTTTTATTTTGCTGTGAGCCATACTTTTACCAATCTTGACAGCTATATGAATCAAATTTCTGCCTTTCTGGCAGAGCTATAGGATTCTGAATGTGCTTCAAGGTATCGGTCTCCTGCACACGTTATCCCTGCTCCAGCTCACCAGAAACACCATATTTAGGATAATGCTAGAATATTCACAGGTGGTGCCAGCAGGCTTGTGTTCTGAGAGCTAGCCTAGGATCTGTAATATGCGTGGCTTTCTGCTGGGAGTACCGTCTCATCTAATATCTCTGTTACAGGGTCGTCCAGGGCCACCTGGTCTCCCAGGACCGAAGGTAAGCTGTCTGGTTTGGAAATGAACCCCTCAGGCTACTTGCCCGCGTGTGGTTCAAGAATATTGATCCCACGTTTCTTACAAATGGGGTATAAAAATTAATCGGAACCAGAGGTGAATATATTGAAATCATTTCAATACTAGATTATTTTTTTTCAAGATTATGCCATATAAAGCACCTGTCCATCAGTTTTCAGTAACTACTTGATGCTTAGAGGGTCATAGTGAAGCAGAGCCAATGTCAGATGGCGTGGGGCATGCATGTACACCTTCACCAACACAGGGCAGTTTACACACACCAGGTCACCTGGACAGAGCAGCATGAAACAACAGACATGGGGGGGACCTTCAGACCCCACACAGATGGACAGATTTCAACCCAGGATCTGAGTGGTGACAGCGTCTCCATGTCGCCTTCAAAAGAATTAAAGAACAGTACAAAAAGATTGCAAGGATAAAATTACATAGAGTTGGAAATCAAGGGTAGAGAAAAGAGAGGATATTGTATATCTTCTTGTGTTGGCAGTTCTTTTTATTAGTTTGGATTAAGACCCCCATTAACTTTTTCTACATTATTAAAAGATGGAAACCTTCCCACTGACATTTTATTTTCTAGGCATGTAACATTTTTATCACAAGGAATTAATCACCTCATTACATAAGTACTGCTTGGACAGTGGTAGTGATGGTTTTATATCCTTATTTATGAGAACTTTATATCAGTGGTCCCTGTGTTGGAGAAGAGATGTGTGGATTGGAGGTTTGATGCAACGCTCGGTTACTTCTTTTTCCCCCTAATTGATGGACTGTAGAGCTAATATTTACTTAGATTCCAGTGTTTCTCATCATCTGCATAATCGTTTTACAAGTCACTGAGTGTGGTTTTTGTATTAATTCAGTGAATGTCACTGAATATCACTATAAAAATTTCATTTTTATCATTTCAGGGTAACATGGGCTTAAATTTTCAAGGTCCTAAGGGTGAAAAGGTAAGATCTGAATGTCCACCAGGTCAGCCAAGTTCAATTTGTGTTCAGGTAGAACACTGAATTTGCTTATCTCTTGTTTTCAAATTCTGACAATGTCTCACCACAGATTTTCAGTTTCTGACTTTTTTAACCAAGGAAAACTCCAGTAAAGGTCCTCAGCTGTATATTAATTGACTATTTCTAGTAGAGTCCTTAACATTTCATGATCTATTAATTATTCCAATTCGGTTTTTAATATAGTATATTTATATTCCTCCTCCATTACTAAAGCAATTGTGTATTTGCTCTAAACATTGTTCAGTTGCCGTCTCTTAATGCAGACAGCCACACCCACACAGGAGCACAGTTCCAGCCTCAGACACCAGGGGGCAGTGTCATCCATCTGTTGTGTTGTCCGTGGAGCAGGGTTCTGACTTACAGAAGCACATTGCTACCACTTAGGGGACAGTTTTTTTTTTGGCCCCTTATCTCGTAATTATGAGATAACGAATTACCTTGTAATTATGAGATAGCAATGATTACTTCACTGTATGTACAACCTATTACGTTGTGCACTGAATACATCTAGAAACTACCGTGAACTTGACTGGCACTTTCGGTTGGTCGTGTCAGTGTCCAATGCTGCAGAATTTTTCTGGATTTACTTTCGACTGGGGTTGAGTCATAACGAAATCTTGCAATTTTTAGCAAATATGAACAGAATCATAATAAGCATGAGGACCACTTTTGGGGGAATTTAGAGATCAAAGCAGGGATGGTTCCATTATGAACAGTTATACGTGCAATCAGTCCCACTGCTTAAAACTGTAAGTCCGCACATAGAGATTTATTGTAAGTATTATACAGTATAACAGTTGTGCTATCGCATGATCAAATAAAGTATGCGAGAATGACAGTCTCGTAATTATGAGATAAGGGTGAGGAGTTTTTTCCTAGGTGGCAGCTGTGCGCTTCTGTCCTGACTAGATTTGTTTTGCGGTCTGGTTTCAGGGTAATCCCGGACCACCCGGCCCACCCGGGCCCAAAGGGATCATCAGTGAGCAGAAGAAGCCCGGAGATGGGGAGGTCCAGAGAGGGGACAAAGTAAGAATGGGGGTCATTACTCCCCTCTAACGCACTGCTATCAGTGTAAAGCAAGATTTTTTAAAGTTCTTTTTAAGTTTTAGTCAAGCAAGTTACGTGAACAAAATGTAATTAGTAACATTTATTTAATTTTAAAAAGTAACTCATTATTGTTACAGAGAGTAACTTATCAAGTCTGATGTGGTATTGTAAATGAGTAACTCTGTGATTGTGGCACAGATAGTGAACATATGTGAGTTTATAATACCACTGCATAAACTGCAGAGTTAATATGATCTGCTTAGCACTAAAGCTGAGCCAAGGGAATGATATTGTCTTTATTTTAATATTAACTTGATTAAAAATGTAATTCTCTGTACATAAGTAATTACTCATTGTACCTGCATGCAAGCTCTAAATATTCTTGTAATGCTGAAACAGACATTCAGTTTCCTACTTGATAAGCCTATAAAAAACATTTAATTACAGCTGTAAGTTGTTGAAAATAACTGGTTACTGTACCTTCTCCATTGTGTCACCATTTTGATGATGACCAGCTTTCATCCTTTTTACAAAACACCTTACTCCAAGATGTGGAGTAGCGGCTTTTAGTATCTTTTATAATTCTGTTTTTTGTTGACATGTTGCATTATTCTACATGGGAGGCAAAAATCATTTGTCATCATATTCCTAGTGTTCTGCATTTTTAGTTTTAATTTCATCACACAATGTCCTTGTTTTCCAGTTAAGCTAAAACATTATAATCGTAAATCGTTATGAAACAAGGACTGGGCTACTTTTCCTTGATGCCAAACAGCGGCTAAAATAGTCATTAATCCCTCAGTTACCAAATGCAGGTGATGCTGATCACTGATCAAATCTATGTTGAGCAACCAGTATAGGACTGAGTTCATGTATCCTCTTGTTTAATAAGACATCTGATTATTTTCAATAGATCAGAAATGTAGTGAGCAGCACACACAACTGTGATGTTTTAAATAATTCTGAATAAAATGGACTTGTATGGTCTTCTTCACTGTAAGATTGATAGGTAGATTTTTTAAAACTCGCATATCACTAGCTTCTCCTTGAAACTTTATCACTTCTTTTGGTGATCTATATTTGCTTCTTATTCTAATGGAGCTGGGGTTTCAATGTATATATATATATGCACTGTGCAAGTTAATCTTTGATATTTGTTCTCCTGCCTTACATAGTTTCACCAAATTCTCTTGATTAGTAAATGTTATGGTAAATTGTGATGTAGTGATTTTCGGTCTCAAATGGTTGTACTTCTCTCTTATTTCCACTAGAGGGCACCACCAATTCGATGTTATTTACAGATCTGTGAAACTTGTACAGTGTTTGGTGTTCCTGTCATTGTTCATGATTGTTCATGGGCCATTTTCACCGTGTTTGTCATTTGTATTTTGTAATGGCAAACAATTGACATCCCTCCTGTTTTCTCTCCTGGCAGGGTGACCAGGGAGAACCTGGCCAGCCTGGCCTCCCGGGACCTCCAGGACCTTCAGTAAGTAGATGTCAGCCTTGAGAAACTGAACTAAGACTCCTGTTGCTTTATTCCTAGCTATAACAAGCCCAAGGGAGCCCCATTGAAATACATTCATATTGAATCTTTCTTCAGCCATCACTTACCTGTCACAAAGAATAGTCGAAAATGTTTCAAAACCCGATAGACACCCCATAGCTTGTTGTGCACCTGTAGACGAGCAACTTTGGTGCTATCGAGCCAAACTGCATAGGCAGCAATGAAGGAAACCGTAATGACAGTTTTGTTTTCCAGTGAGGAAGAATGATGAGTTTCCTTTAATGAACAGTAAATCCACCTTTCTTTGAGTGGCGACAATGATTAATAAGCCCTTTTAGAAAAGGCAGTGCGTTGTCTTGGATGTCAATGGATTCTCTCTTGTAGCCCTATTTAGGTGGGCAGAAGGTAGCAAGTAGTAATTAAATGTCTTTCTTCAGTTGTCAGACTACACCGATATCCCAAATCTTGTCGTCAGTGGGTTAAAAAAGCAAAGTATTATATTAATAGGACAATGAACTTCAAAGCAATTATTTCAAAGCCACTTTCCTGATCCATAAAGATCGCATAGCACAATTATATTACAAAGCCAAAATTAAATGTATTTAACTCGGCAAGAGTAACTCCTTTGCAGAGGTTGAAGGGTAGAATTGCATATGTTTTCCATGAATGTTTTTAATGTCCTTAAAGACCTTTAGTAATCTTAAAGAATTGAGAGTTAATACTCCATGAAGTTGCCTTGATCTTCTGTTTTGGAATGCATTTTGAACATTGGAGAAAGTGAACAGTGTCTGCGTCTTATGAGGTTTGCCCAACTGGTGACAGAGACTCTGGGAACAGCCTGCTGTAGATCCCCCTTGAAAGTGGAAAAGCACTGTTTAAGTCATGTGGGACGCACTCCTCACTCTCTGCTCCACCCTCCCATCTTCAGTCTGTGCTCTGTGTTCCAGGGTCCTCCTGGTGGTCCAAAGGGTGAGAAGGGGGAGCCAGGGGAACCGGGCAAGAGGGTAAGTAGGCCGGGACGAGTTCCTGAAAGCACGCAGGAAAAGTTATTTGGAATTGATGAAACCTGAAATCCGTGAGGCTGACTTGTTTGCTGTATTTCCTTCTCAAAGGGAAAGCCAGGAAAAGATGGTGATCCTGGGCCAAAAGGATTCCAGGTAAGTGTCTTGCAATAGGGTTGGCTTGGTCCAACAAAAGAAGTGTGATAGTTTTCTCCTGCAGGGAATTATAGTTGGTGGAAAGATGTGCTCTTCACTGCAATGCCAGCAGCAGTTACGGGTTTCTTTAACCACAGCTAGGGTACTGTCTGACACGGTATTCCTCTGGTATCTGTCTGAAGAGTAGATGTATCCAAAAAGGAAAACTCACAAGCATCCCTGTCTGTTTCCATTTTTAAAACCAAGTATTCCTTGCCTCCATTCTGAAAACATTATACTGTACATGCCTCCATTCTCAACAGGAATCTCACAGTTTAATTTGTTGTCAAAAGCAGTGGGAATGTAAAATTAATATTTGAATGTTATATTCCAAGAATGCTTCTGAGCAAGCAGATGCATATAGTAGATCTAGTTAGAGATATTCATTCATTTCCATTAATAAAGAATGGAACTGGTTTTGCAGTGATTTTGAATATTGACTTTGGGGTGGCTGGGCTTTCAAGTTCAAGTTTGTCATTCTATTCATACACAGGTATATGGTAAAACGAAATGCTATTTAGCTAGCTCTCAAATAAGGTAAGTAGTGCAAAAAGCAATACAATTGTGGAAGAAAAGAAAGACAGACAAGTATTGTGCAAACAACAACAGTTGTGCAAAATCATACATCTCCAGAATGAAATAAATGATACAAAATAATGGGGAGTGAATGTCTTGACATGTGAGGTAGAGGTAGATTTCAATGTGTGTTTGAGTTTTGATAAAGAGAGAAGGCACCGTAAGGATTCAGATCGTAGGTGAGAGAGGCTGGGAGTTTAATAGTTTGATAGTGCGGGGGTAAAAACTGTCACTGAATCTGGTAGTCTGGGCCCAAATGCTCCGGTACCATTTTCCGGATGGTAGAGGGAAAACAGTCTGTAGCTGGGGTGTATGGGGTCTTTTATGATGCTTAGAGCTTACCTCAAGCACCGTCTGTCATAAATGTGCTGAATGGGTGGGAGAGCAACCCCAGTGATGGACTGGGCAGTTTTCACCACCCCTGGATGGAATGTGTGGCCACCCAGCGATCCCAGCTGGAAAAACCACCAGCTCAAACAACACAGGTGATCTTTTTCTCCCCGTGTCCCTACAGGGTCCTCCTGGTGGTTCCGGAGTTCCAGGGCAGCCGGGCTTCGATGGCGATCAGGTAAATATCTCTATTGCCCCCCCCTCGGATAAGCGTACGATATGGTCCTAAACCGCAAAAGGTCCTTAACTTGCCAGCAGCCATATCACCCTGCAACTCACTACTGGCAGCTCCACTGAAGCTCAGCAGGTGTGAGCCTGGTCAGTACCTGGATGGGAGAAAAAGCTAAGGTTACTGCTGGAAGAGGTATTAGAGGGGCGCTCACCCTGGAGGCTGTGTGGTACCTAATGTCCCAGTATAGTGATGGGGGTACTATACTGTAAAAAGGGGCTGTCCTTTGGATAAGATGTAAAGCCAAGGTCCTGACACTCTGTGGTCATTAAAAATCCCAGGGCATTTCTCGAAAAGAGTAGGGGTGTTACCCCGGCGTCCTGGCCAAATTTCCCATTGGCCCTTACCAATCATGGCCTCCTAATAATCCCCATCTATGAATTGGCTTCATCAGTCTGTTCTCCTCCCCACTGATAGCTGATGTGTGGTGAGCGTTCTGGCGCACTATGGCTGCCGTCACATCATGCAGGTGGGGGCTACACACTGGTGGTGGTGGAGGGGAGTCCCCATTACCTGTAAAGCGCTTTGAGTGGAGTGTCAAGAAAAGCACTATATACAGTAAGTGTAAAGAATTATTACTAAACGTACTGACAAAGAAGAATGAGTATTGCCTCCCAGTATGTCTTAAATTGTATAATTAGGGCAAATCTTTTTGGAGGTGGCTGATTTTCTTTTTCATTTCAGGGAGAAAAGGGCGAGCGTGGTTTCCCAGGGCCTCCTGGTGTGGTAAGAACAATTACATGGCGGGTAAAGGGAGGTGGAGTGGACCCTTGTGATTTATGGGAAGGATACCTTTAGGCAAACCCCAATATCATAAGTGATATTTTTACAGGCGATGTTCACAGCACTGCTGTCCAGATCATTAGACTGTTCCTCACACTCTGCTGAAGGGGAGTTAAATACTTTCTGCTTGTAGTTTTGAAGAGCTCATAACAGGGCTTTGTCTTTTGTGCTTCCCATGACATCAGGTTATTTTTTTGTTCCGGTTCAGGGATGTGGAAATTGATACTTAGGCAAAGTACTTGTGCTCTTTTTTTTTTTACTTTTTCTGCTGAGCGCAGATTATGAAGGTGGTTGTTTAAAAAGAAATTTAAAATTTAAAAAAACGGCTCACATCTGACCCGTTGCCTTTTAACATAAAAATACAACCCTATTGTCAGGATGTTAATTTAGGAGAGCAATATCACAAGAATGTTCCGGTACCTCCTGCAGTTTCATGTGGATCAAGTCACATTTGTTTACATAATTATCAACATTAAAAATAATAGCACATAATAAGAGAAAACAAGGTAAAAGATCATTAAAAGAAATCAATACATTGTAAAGGTACGTGGCCCTGGTATAAAAGGCAAGGTGAGAAGGTGTTTTTAAGATTACATTTAAAAATGTCAATAGACTATGAAACTCTTCTCTTCTGGCAAGGTGCTCCATAGATGAGGACCGTACACAATAAAAGCAGTCTCTCAGGTCTTGGTCAGAGGACCAGAGGAATTGGATAGGAACCTAACTTAAGTGCATTTCAGACATATATTCAGGGCAAATACTTGATTTACACAGTGAAGGCCCTTTAAACCAGGTGCAATATGTGCTCTCTTTCTGTTCTTGGTCAACAGATGTGCTACTTTATTTTTAATCTAAATAAAGCTTGTAATTAAAGCTTTCTTGGGGTGATCAGACAGGAGGACATTGCAGTACCAGAGCCTACTAGTTAAAAAAATGTGTACATTAGATTCTCAGTACCTGCCTGATAACAGCTGTACTTTTGCAATATCTCTGAAGCAATGAATAGACTTTGAGATTTAAATCAGGATCAAAAGAACAAACTTAGGTTTTTAACTAGTGGCTTGATGTTGTGTGTCAGGATGTTGAGAGCACAGTTTCTCTCTCTGGGCCTTAATTCCAATAACCAGGCCCTGTTTTGTCCTTGTTCAATTGTAGGATGGTCTGAGTCATCCACAGGTTAATATCCTCTGTACACGTAACCAGTTCAGCAATAGGGTTCTCAACATTAAGCGAATCAGAGATGTATAACATCAACTGCATAGCTATGAAAATCAATCTCATGCTCCATAATAGCATTTCACAGATGTGACATGTGAAAACTGAAACAAAATCAGGCCCGGAATCAAGCCTTGAGGGACACCACAAGTGTTTCTAATTCTGGAAGAGAAACGCTTTTCAATAGAAAAAAAATATTTCCAACTAAATGCATAGATTTGAACTGCTCCAGATAGGCCAAACCAACTCTACAGTCACTCAATGAGAATAGGTGGAGAAGCACCCTGTTGCTCTTCTTTTGGGCTCTACTGATGTGCAAGTGGCTTTTAGAGGGGGTTGGGATTCATGCCTTTTTGTATTCCAGGAGTCAGTCCTGGAATTTTGGAGGGAAATAGTTACTTAAAAAGGGTCAGCTGTTTTCAGTCACCAGCATGTATTGGTGTTTTTCAGTAAAAATTAAGAGTAATTGAAAAATGGGGTTATGTGTTGCAGGTCATCCCTGGATCAGATTTGAACGGTGTTGGTACAAAAGGAGACATTGGATTTCCTGGAACCCCGGGAAGAAAGGGGGAAAGAGGGCCACCAGGTAGCTATCGGAGACATTAGGTTGCACTATGGGATGCCTAAAGGAAAATCCAGGTTTTTCTGTTATTATCACTTATTCTGGGCTCTTACCCCACGTTGAGAAATTATCCCTTGCAAAGATTATACCATGAAATGATCCCTTATTGTATCAGCTCTGCTTATGTTGGTCACCTTGACTTAAGGTGTCTGCAAAACAATAATGATGAATTTCTCATTATCACACTGCGCTTTGAACCTAAGCACTGGGGATGTCTTGTGTTTTGGGAGAATCTGCATGCTATAATCATGCACAGGATGGCTTCAGAGCACATCCAGTCTACATTGTGCTGATAGTCTTTCAAAGGCAGCCAGTACCACTTTTCAGATGGTACAGAAACAAAGGGACAAAGGGGGACAAGAATAGGCGTAAGTAACTTCTTGGAGTTCTAGCCTGATTTCAAATGAAGGTCTTGCTTTACCAGCACAGACTAAGTAGATAAAATCACATGTGGCTGTGCTCCTCCTGTTCCTTTTGTTCCAGTACAGCCGGTGGTGTGTGTCAGTGGACAGGATCCACATCATGTACAGTACATGTGTTCTTTGACATTTCTCATTGTGACACTAAATAGCTGATTTGGAAACAGGCTTACTTGAGGTAGGATTGTTGGATACACTTGAGAATTTCTCAGTCAGCTCAGTGCAGTGGTTAAAGAAATCTCATCCAGAATGTTATCACCACTAGGTTTGGTGCAGATGTGTACCCATTCTCTTTACATACTGTAGCAGTTGTCAGACTTTTTGGTGTTCAGGGCTAAATCTGTATTGGAAATGACTCGCTCTGTGTGAGTCTGGACTGGAGATTTGTGTTAAAAATTAAATGCTTCATTTCCTTTTACATAACTGTGGTAGTCTTGCCTGGCTTTTGTTGTGGCAAAATTAGCATATTGACTGAATTTAACCTGTTCGGTGTAGTAATGTAACAGTATACACTCTAATGTAAATTATAAGAAGTCAAGAGGGCTGTATGTCATCACTTACAGTTTTAATGCTGTGAAAATGACCAGGGTCTCAGAGAAGGATGCCTATTATACTGCAACTGTGGAAATATGGTTCTATTCTTTGGTTAATGTGAAAAGGATCATAAAAGTGCACAGGTGGCAAAGTCTACCCCTCACTCTTGTTCGCTCTGAATTACAGGTATATCGGGCCCCGCTGGGCAGCCTGGCCTTCCAGGTGAGTTATACTGTTTTCTAAGGCTTATAGGCTGGATCCATGCATTCTAATAAGCAACGTGAAGACTAGAGTAAAACAAAGATAAAGGAGGAGTATAGTAACTGTGTCCCCACCCTAGCAGTGAGTCTCCACACTCACCATCATGGAAAGTGTTCTTACACGTTTGTTCCTCTAATGTGTTTCGCTGCATACAAAGCAGGCCTTTAAAAAGGATGCGTGGCATATTCTGTTCACACAGGTCCTTTCACCAACCTTCCTCAGAAGTACTCAGAATCCACCTGCCTCGCACACACACACCACTCCAAAATGTTGTTGTTATTGGTTCTTGACGAGAGTCCTATGTGCTTCAGGTTCTTCACTTCCAGGCCCCCCTGGCCAACCTGGCTTCCCTGGGGAAAGGGGACTGAAGGGCGATCAAGGGCAACCTGGAGTATCCCTCCCTGGGCCACCTGGACTCAGTGGGCGACCAGGGCCCCCTGGACCACCTGGGCTTCCGGGACCCCCAGGCAGCATGACCGGTACAGTAGCATCTAGAACTGTACCTGCCCAGTCTTTAAAACCCTTTTGTAAGATCCTCACCCCATCTTTGAGTTTCTGCTCCCTTGACCACAGCCTTGTTGTGTCATAGCGAAAAGCATGAACCTGTGGACCATGGGCTTATGTAGTTCGGAACTTGCCCTGTTGGCCTGACTTTTCTAGAAGTGTCTGAAACATCATGTAATACACACTTCGTATCCAATATCAGTATGGTTAAAACAGAAACTGTTCCAATAAGGGCTTTTCTTTTTGTAGAGAGGTCTGTGAAAACTCTATAGACTACAGGCACTGCATGTTCCCCTAAGAGACACAAAATTCCTACAGCTTGTAATATTGTAAATTTCATATTTTATTAATTATCCTCTGAATGAACAAGGCTGATGTGATGGACTTAATTGCTGGTTTCAGTTCTTCCTGTTATGATTTGAAGACATGTGATTTTGTTAAGTGGGTAGTTGGTTTGATGCAGTGATCTGTTTCTGTAGATGTACAGTATAGCAGAGGTGACCTAATGTCCAGTTCTCTGTTACTGTTCTCCCACTTCAATGAAGCAGGAAAAGAGACACTACAAATGTCCCTTCTCCAGCCTTTTGAATGGCAAAATGTAACTTTCATCGGCTCTGTTCACCTGCTGTTCTGTTTCCCCCTGAGCTTTTGGTTTGTCATTTGGTATTCCTTCAGTCATCCAGGTGGAAATGTGTTTGCCCGACGGTATGTGTTCTGTTTTTCTATGAATAAGTGTAGCTTGTTCAGCCTTAGAACTATGCCAGGAATTCACCATAGCATAAATTCAGTCAGTATGGAGCTATAGTATTTTTTTTCCTGGCCTTAATTGTGAAATACTTAATTATAACATGAGAGAAAATTGGACCCAAACTTTGAAGGAGGAACCAACGCAACAACGCAAACATGGGTATGCAGTTGGCAGAATTCGGTGAGTTGTCTCACTGCACATTTTGCAGAGGAACCTTATGCTGAAATCAAGTATGTTCTTATGGTGCGATTTGTTCTGATCCTAATTAATGCCATATCGGTTCTGTTCGCCTGGAGTGTGACTGCTGTCCGTCTCCGCAGGTGTGGAGTGCAAAGATGGGCCCCCAGGTTTGCCAGGACAGCCTGGTCCCCAAGGGTTTCCAGGAGAGTCTGGACTGAAAGGTAACTAGTTGAAATGGACCTTCTCTCTTTCCCAAATGCACAGTTCAGGTGTAAGGATTCTGTGCCATTCTGCAGGAGAAGAAAGAACATTGAATACCTAAGCTACTTGCTCACTTTGTGATTTTTTTGTAGTGTTATTCATGCAAGAATGGACAGAATTCTGCCTGGGAAAGTGTTGAAAATCTTGCTTGTGTTCCTCACATAGTGCATAAAGTCTTGTCATTGGGCTTGGGGTTGCTAATGTTTTAGCATTTGTATCCCATTGTGCCTGATGCTATCCTCTCTGGTCTCTTGCCCCAGGTGAAAAGGGGGATACCTGCTACAACTGTTTTGGTGTTGACCCACGTCCAGGGCCTCCTGGACCCCCAGGACCCTCTGGTCTTCCTGGTAAGTGGCTCCTCCACAAGTGTTGATGGGCAACCAGGGGACTCGAAGAAATATGAACCATGATAAAGCTCGAGCATAGTGAGTCTTTAATAACGCCTGAATATCAGCATCCAGCAACTGGTTCTATAACCTTGTGATACCAAAACAATGGTGTTTGTGATTTTGAGGAATTCATAACTATGCAGAGTTTTCAACTGTGGTATTTGTGCAACAGTTCTGCCGCACTCCTGCTCTGGCCTCCATCTCAGAGTATTAATGTTTGTGATGGGAGCTCCCAGTAGACGTGTTACAGTGTATTTTTATGTGGTGCTTTTCAAGCAGAAGGAATCCGAAGTACTTCTAATGCAGGATGAAGGTCACATTCCCTGCAAATTAAATGTAGGGCCCATGTGGGTCACCTGAGGCAATTATTCTGTGGTTGAACTAATTACTTGAAATTTATCAAGTATTCCAGGATTACAACCCCAGTTGATTCTGTGTTTATATATTTTTATGAATAATGATAAGTGTTTTATCACTCCAATTTGGATCTCACATTTTTGTAAAACTTTGCCTTCTGCATAACTTTGAAAGATTGAGCATGTGGACATCATCCTTCAAAATGCCTGCCTGCAGAAACATTCAACATCTGACACCTACAAGCTCCACAGCACCTGAGGAGAGTTAGTGCTGAGTGGAGGAGCTCATCTCTCCCAATGTGCTCATGGTAGAGGTCTTTGCTTTGGGGATCTGACTGGCTTTGTTTTGAAGTTCTTGAGTTGGTGGGTGATCAGGTTTAATAAGGAGATGTTCAGGATGGCAGGGTTGACGACATTAAAAATAAAAATGACTGCTGTACATGGAATACTCTTAGATCCCAGCTCATTAATGAATATGCTTTGTGATTAATATAGTCATTTTTAATTGAGCGCTTCCAGAATAACTCCATTCATCTCTTTGTAGGATCTAGTGGGTTGCCTGGACCCAAAGGAGACAGAGGCTTCCCAGGTGGATCAGGCCCAATGGGACCTCCTGTAAGTAACAGCCTTTTCTCATGAAGATTTCCCTTCCTTTAACTTCACTTCCTATTGCTCTTCCTGACAGTAAAGAAGTAGCATGTAATTCAAGTGCTACTGTATCTTATTGGATGCGAGGGGGAAAAGAGGGAAAAATCAACATGGAAATTTCAGTCATACCAGCTAAGGACTACTATGTCTATGTCAGTAAACTGTTACCTGCATGTGTAAAGGGATCTGTGCTATATCTGCCCAGAATACTTCTTAAAACTGCTATTGCTGGTGACTATATTGCCGATAGTTTTTTTTTCTGATGTTCAGAGTTCATTGGATTACATGACCCCCTTAAAACAAATTGGTTGTCTTTCATTTCCGGCACTTTGGTGTAATAGGTGAGATACTGTAGGTACAGCCTCGTGTTCCCTTGTCAATCTTCGGCAGGTCTGGGTATTTTAGACCTGAAGCTGAGGAAATTCAAGTAGATGTCAGCATTAAAATAAGAGGCTGGAAAGAGGGGGGAAGCTGTTATTACAAGGTAGTAACAGAAATGCGTATTTGTGGAGAGAGTTCTGGAAAAGTTTGTTTTGTTGAGCTGTATTTCTCCACTTCGTGCAAGGAAGTGGGGTTTTAAGAGGTAGAATATGGTTGCAATTCCTAACAAGTCTCTGATTCCAGGGTTTGCCAGGTGGCCCAGGACTTCCTGGAATCCCAGGTATGAAGGGCGATCCTGGTGATGCCATCGCTCTCCCAGATATGAAGGGTGATAAAGGAGACCCAGGATTCCCAGGGCTCCCTGGTCCACCTGGCCAAGAGGGAAGACCAGGCCGAGACGGCTTGCCTGGATCACCCGGACCTAAAGGAGCCCCTGTGAGTAGAGTCCATAACCCCCTGTGGAGAGAAGACGACCAATTATCTAATTCAAAGTCCTAAATAACATTTCGCACAAAGACTTTGTAATCTTCTTGTGAAGGCTGACTACCTTGTGGCTCCTTGTGCCCTTATTTAAAGGAGAACTACAATGCTATATTTTGGGTTTAGAAAGATTCAGCATTGATAAGTGCATTTCAAACCGCCATCAAAGTAAAATATACTTGTAAAACCTCCAATTTACATCTCAAAACAGACAAAATTTCCAGGCATGCGCAGTGCCATATTATGTGATTCAGAATGAGGCAACAAAATTTGTAGTGACATTGTAAACAATGTGGTGAAATATCTGTTGCACAACCTGTATTTATTCACTTATACATCACCTTAGTCATTACGGACACTAGTGAGCCTCATCACGTTGCAATTCATGGGATTTCAAATGTGAGTTTGCAAGAACATGGTGACATACAGTACTTTTACAAAGTTCATGGTTTCGTGCTTAATTTGAAATTTGTAATTTTGTTCTATAATGTCAATGAATTAATGACCAGCAGCCATATCGCTCTGCAACTCACAACTGGGTACCCACTGAAGCTAAGCAGGTGGGAGCCTGGTCAGTACCTGGATGAGAGACCTCCTGGGAAAAACTAAGTTTGTTGCTGGAAGAGGTATTAAATGGGCCAGCTGGGGATGCTCACCCTGCGGTCCATGTGGGTCCTAATGCCCAAGTATAGTGACGGGGACCCTATACTATAAACAGGCGCCGTACTTCGGATGAGATGTAAAACTGAGGTGCTGACTCTCCGTGTTCAATAAAATTCCCAGGGCAATTCTCGAAAAGAATAGGGGTTTATCCCCGGCTACCTGGCCAAATTTCCCATTGGAAACTTACCAATCATGACCTCCTAATACCACATTGGGGGTGGTGTAGGGGAGTCCCCATTACCTGTAAAGCACTTTGAGTGGAGTGTCCAGAAAAGCGCTATGTAAGTGTAAGCAATTATTATTTTTATTATAATGGCTGTGGCTAAAGATCCGCGCCTGTAGCTGGAAGGTTGTCGGTTCAAATCCCGCAGCCGGCACAGGAATCCAACTCCGTTATAACCTGAGCAAGGCCCTTAACCCCAGCTTTTCCACGGGTGCTGTATAAATGGCTGACCCTGCGCTCTGACCCCAGGCTTTCTCCCCCTGTCTTTGTAACTGTGTGTCTGACGAAGAGCAAGCTGGGTATGCGAAAACGACAAATTCCTCATGCAAGAAATTGTTTATGGCCATATATAAAGTATAAAGTGATCTTATTGCAGTTCCTGTTTAATGCTCTCGAGGTTCATAATCATAATAATCAAGCATTTGAGAATCCAAGATGACATTAACACGAGTCATACATTATCTCAAGCGTAGTCTGATTCCATTTCCCAAACACCATTATTGGTTTAAATCCTTAGCCTCTTGGGTTTTATCTTGTTGCTTACAGTATGTACTGTAGGTGGTGAAATTAAAAATCTGACTCTGCCAGTTTGAGTCTTAGTCCCTGATGTGAACTGACGGCTTCTGTCTCTGAAGGGAGCCCTGTTGGTGAAAGGAGAGCGAGGTTCTCCAGGTGACCCAGGCTTTCAAGGTGTACCCGGTGAGAGAGGACCCCAGGGGCCCCCAGGGTTTGGACCCCCAGGTCCTCCAGGGGAGAAAGGAGTCCAGGGAGTGTCTGGGCGTCCAGGATCCCCAGGAACACCAGGTAAGGCTCTGAATGGGCCGTCTGAGGTGTTGTGATCTTTGAATTATATTGCGAGTTGCCAAATGTGCTGTCCTAAGTTCTCTTCTCCCCTGTGGAAAAGGTTTGTTTTGGAAACACTGAATAATTATTTTCTGCCCAAAGAGGACAAGGAGTTGAAGCACATTCCATTGGTTTTAGGCTTCCATTTCTTTCAGGATATCTAGTGGCCCTCAGTTCAGTGCCTTGCAAGGCCCCTTAGCTTAACTGGTTGCACAACACTGCTGTAAATCAGACCTCAACACCCTCAAAGCAAGTACATCTCAGATGAAGACGATTTTGGTTGGAATGAAACAGGGGCTTTGTTCAGCTCCATCCAAAAGATATAAGAAAATATGCATCCAATAAGTAATGCATAGATATTGATTGAGAAGGAGAAACATTGCAATACGTTTGAAAGCATTGTGAAATGTTTAATTATTAAAGTTCTTTAGACTTTATCTCATTTAAATGTTAAACATGTATTTGGTGTGCTTGCAATTGTATTCGAATGTTCTATTATATTCAAGTCATTATAGTATTAATTACATTCCACTACAACAATGTAAAGTAAATTCTGAGCATCAAAAGTGTATTACTCTATTTTGAAAGAGTTGGTTGGATACAAGATCATGAGGTGGTTTATCTTGTTAAGTGTCAAGCCTTATAGAAAGAAATAAGAACACAGGAAATAACAGCTGTGCTTCACACATGAAGAAAACAGTCCCTTTGTGCCGTTGGTATGTTGGAGGAAAGGCTCAGGTGGAATTTCCAGTAGTCAAGACAAGCCCTTTAGCACTGAATCAAAGTGTTGTAAAGACCTCCTTAATGGATGTCATCAAGTACAGAGCAGATATATAGAATGGCACGAGTTCCTGTGTACACCAGACCAAATTATGGAGCAGTCCAAGTGTAATGGTCTGGACAGGAGTCCTGGAACCTCATCAGCTGTTCATCATGACATTATTGCAGCAGGTGAAATCCACATGCTGCTCATAAACAAAAAACTGCTTTCTTGCAAAATGAGAATGTGATAGTTATGCTGTGTGCCCCACTTGTCACATTTGAGTCTGATTGAGTATTTTTGGGATGATTTGGATGAAGTGTGGCATCTAGGTTTCAGAGACCCATGAACGTTCAGAATTCCACAAGACAGCCAGTATTTAAAGCCAGTATAATTCAAAAATTGTTTCTGATACATGTACTGTTTCTTGTGTAAATAAATATTTAGCATATTAGTTCCTTTACTAATTGTATAGTGTTGACTGTCGTCTCATTCCCAAAATTCTCTAAACCATTTCTCAAAATGCCTTCACGTTTTTGTGTAAAGTTGATACATTTCCAGTTGTTAACACTGCAATTATAATTACAGATTAACAGTCCTCATACTGACGCCTGTGGCACTCCTCGTCATGACCCGGTCTCAGGTTTTCAGTCATTAGACTGAAATCGAGATTGTGTGTATGATTTGTGAGCAGTCATATTGAACAGAATATTTCCATGAAGAATAGGACAACCTCCCTTTAAAATGCTGCCATTGCCTTATAGGGCAACACTGATTATTTACTGTGACTCATAACACTCAATTTGTTCTATGACTGCAAGGAAAATTAGATTTATCAATGCCATCTTGTCTAATTTTAATACCTTAATACTGTCCTTAAGAAATATTTTCTTTTCTTTTGTTTTGCTGGTGACCATAACCCTAATGAGTAGAGTTTCTCAGTTTTGTCTGTCCTCTTTCACAACACTATATGTCATTTTATGCTCTTCAGAGCTGAGAGACTCCTTCTTTTGTCTACAGGACCTAAAGGAGAACCAGGTCAAGCTCTCTCTGAAAAGGGACTGCCTGGACCAATGGGGCCACCTGGAGACACTGGTCTGTCGGGACCTCCAGGTATGAACCACCTATTATCTCAAAAAACTCAAACTGTTTTAGTTTTTTTGCAATATTGCAAGCTCTGTTTCAGAAATGGTACCACCTTCCTATTGTTAATCAAACTGCAAGAAAGCTCTTGAATGTATCATCAGGCTTCAAGAGGCGTGCCAGGCTGGAGAAATCCTTTGACAGTCAGTCATGTTAGTTGTCAAAGGCTAATTAATTAAGGTTAATTGCTGCTAAATGCTAATTGTTTGGTCTGTGCAGGTAATCCTGGGCAACCAGGGCAGCCTGGTTTCCCCGGTTTGCCAGGATCTAAGGGTGACCCAGGCCTTCCTGGCATTGGCCTGCCTGGACCTCCAGGGCCCAAAGGTAAGCAGTCTGAGTTTATATGTACTTTGACACATTTCCATAGCTCAAAGTCACTGGGATAGTTGTTAACAGGTCCCAAGCCCTTTTATCTGTTAGATTCTGTTAGTTCCAGTTCATTTAGTCCCACTGGTGTGCTGCTATAGGACCTAGGAGCTGCACTGTGACACTATCATTACAAGGGGCAGCCTACTAGAAACACGCCAGAAAATTAAGAAGCAGATCACGTGACCTCTCCGGGTCATACATTCGGTTTTCTAAAACTGAAATACAGGTAAAGGTATTACATTTCTAGTAGCACATATCATCAATATTTAAAAAAATATTGCTAATTTTGTGTGGTGCTCCTTGGCTGAATATAATCTGGTAAAACATAACATGATCTCTTCCAGTTACTGCAGCTGAGCTTTGACTGAAGAGTAACTTTCATGCTGGCTTCTCATTTAGGGTTCCCTGGACCTCCGGGCCTGCCTGGATCAGCTGGAAGCCCAGGAAGACCTGGTAATGATGGACGTCCAGGCCTGCCGGGCAACCCAGGGTCCAAAGTAAGACTGGAACACTAGTCGGAGTTTGTCAAGTTAGAATTGGTCATCAGTTATGTTTTTGTGCGTCTCAGCTTGCAGCTGTGAACCTAGCAACCATGCACAAGTGAGAACGATGACGTGTAGACAGACTTCTCTGACCCAACCCACCTGTGAGTCAAAGTCTTTTAATACAGCACAGGCAGCATAGCTACAGAGATTCTGTCCTAGTTGCTATAAGTGGTCCCAGTCATACGAAGAGAGGCCAGTCTGACTAATCCCACCCCACTCTCCAAGACACATAGCCAGTTGTGCACTGCCACTTGGGGAATCCCAGAAACAGTCAGCTAGAGACAAGACTACTTTTTATATATCAGGATTTATATATTCAATATTTTTATTTAATTTTATGAATATATATATATGTATTTAAAATATATAAATCTAAATTTAGTATTTAGACTAGTGAGATTAGTTTCTTCTAGTTTCCCAAGTTGGTTCTGCTAACTCCTTCCAGCCCTTAGCCACACTTCTCCACAAAGTGGTCTTCACTTCTGCCCCACTGATAACGTGGGCTCAAAATGTCCAATTCAAGTCCTTCGCTAACAACTCTCCACTTGTTTCTAGGGAGAGCCAGGGTTTGGACTTCCTGGTCCGCAGGGCCTGCCAGGACCTCCTGGGATGAAAGGAATTCCAGGACCGAAAGGGGATTCTGGGTTCCCCGGTACCCCTGGCCAGCCAGGACGCCCTGGCTTTGATGGCACCCCAGGGCAAAAAGGTCAGGATTGCAGGATTGCAGGCTTGCAGGCTATGCAACTCTTATTCATGGTGTATCAAAGGCTAAGAGGCGATTGCCTAGGTTATAAATCAACCCAAGGGAGTCATAGCCACTAAATTAAAAGGCTTGTTGTAATCTCCCAGACGTTTGACGTGGTTCAAGATTATCATTGTTCATTTCCCAGTTGATATATGTTCTGGAGCCAGAAAATTCAAATAGTTAAGACAACCTGCTGAACAGGACTGCATGTGGCTATAGCCCATGAACAAGCAGGTTGAAAACTGCCCTCTGAGCTCTGTTGCGCGTCACAGGTAGTGGTGCTCTTTCTCACCCTTCTTTCCCGTCTGTCATAGGGGACTCTGGGCTTTCTGGTCAGCCAGGACTCCGTGGCCCTCCAGGACCTCCAGGATTTGGTATCCAGGGACCCCCTGGCCCCCCTGGCCCCCCAGGAGCTGTGGGTCCTCCAGGTACATCTTTGAATATCTTCCTCAAAAGCAGCCATTGTCCAATACTGTCATACACGATAACAAATCCTCAGTTGTGTAGTCATTGAGAATTATGTAGCTTGGAAAGATCAGTTCAGTTCAGTCCCTATGAGGCACATCTCTAATTACAGGTTTTTCAGACCATTTAGGGTCTTGTTCTCAAACGAGGGCAAGGCAAAGCCAAAGTCCATTAATAAAATATGCAATCATTAGATGTGACAGATGAAAATGCAACTTCTGAAACTGACTGAGTTATTCAAAAAAAAAAAGCTGCACTTGTGTGTACTTTATAAGAGTGATAATAGAGAATCATGTTAGCTACTAGCTCTTCTGCTCCCAACTGTCCTTTATTTCAGCCAGCTTTTAAATAATTGTAACCAGCCAGCCCGACTGTCATCGTACAGGGCCAAAAGCTGGAGTAATATTTGTAGGACTGAATCACATCTTGTGTGGTAAAGGGAAACTCTTCCAGTGTTGTGAACAGTCCTAAACAATGACACCTTGCTAGTTTTTCCACACTCTAGTTTTCAACATCTTAAAGTGCTGCTGAAGTGTATATATACAAACTGTTTATTTCTCTTTTCTGAAGAGGCTGCACATAAAGAAACATAATCTTTTTTTATCATTACTTTATGGTTGTACTGTTGTGTTGTGAACCATATTGGAAAAACCAGCATTTTGAAATCATTGAAAAGGAAAGGTTGTGCATGGTATCTTTATCAATCCACTTAATAATGTCATGCAGCACAGTCATCACTTATAACTACCAGAAATTTCTTGTTTGTTTCTTTTGCCTGATGCAAGAGTTTCACACCCAACTGCAAGAGGACTATACCACTTTTGATCAGTTTTCACCCTGTTTTTTTTTTTTAATTGAACATGAGCACTTGGTTCCACTGTGCATGCCTACGTGAATGCGGTGCTTGAGGTTTTGCACTCCCCAGCGATACCACACTGTCTGTGTTGAATGTGTTAAGGCCTGGATAACATCGGTTTTGAGTTTGTTGGGTTTATTGGCAGACTGCAGTGAGACTCACTGTCCTTTGTATCAGATTTCCTATATTTTGACAACTGATTCTCAAGATATCTATACCGTTTTTTTCTCAGCACTCTCTTGGCATGGACTCACACTTGTTTAAACATTGATGCCTTTAGGAAATACTACAGTGAAATACCAAACAACTGGGTCAAGGCCTGGATTGTTCTACCCAGAACAAAATAGCAAAAACAAAACTTAATGTTCAAAGCAAAATTTAAATATTGTGGCCCTTTTTAAAGTGTATAGTCTGTTTTTACAGATGTTGAACACTGCAAGCTGGACATTTCTGGCTCAAGTCATTAGTGGACTGTACTGGGTTATGGAAAGAGCTTCTCTCTCATCCCCTCTGCCTCTTGTGCAACACTGCCTTCATAAGGCTCACTGGCCACCTGTGAGCTTGCAGTGTTGTGAGTGAATGCTACCTTTCTTGTAGGCACTATAGGACATTCTGTGTGAAAATGAGACATAATGATTTTTATTTGATGGAAAAAAAAGCAGGTACAACTTTGTGAGTTTGGCAAAACCCAGCAAGTCACTGCTATTTTCTCATTCAATACAATTTGTAGATGGAGGAAGTGATTCCCTGGTGATCTATATTTATCAAATGCGCTGTGCTGCATCTATTTTTTTAACTAAAATTTTAATTTTGTCACTGTACAAGGCATCAATATTTACCCAGCACTCCTCTGTCCTAACTTATTTCCCTTTTCTCCTGAAGATCATTTCTACTAAACCATCCCACTAATCTTTGGTTAAAATCTAGATGCTAATTCATCAAAGTTTCTACAGAACTGGACAGGATGGAGTGGTATTTTAATATGCTGAACAGCACTGTGTTTGTTTCTCTTATGTGGGACTGGATTGGTCTAGGAATATGCTGCATGTCCCATCCTGCCACACAGTCACAGTGCATGAATTAAATCTAGAGCAGGTGCCGTCATTCACTTTCCATTCTTTCTATGGATTTTGGGCAGCCCCGTCTAGCGCTATAACTATCAATCTGGCACAGATATGGCCAGCAAGAAACTTATCCGTGGAGAGCCCCAGGAAATTGTGATTCCCACCTCTTGTACAAATATGTGGAAATAAAACTGCTGTGATGTTGTGGATAAAGTGACCGGACACTTTAAAGAACTATTTTATAGCACCCTCAGTTTTGAAATCTCAACTGGTATAGAAACTGTCAGAAGCTGTACCTGTGCTCTCACAAATCCTGTCCTTCTGTGGTAGTACCTCATAGCTTCAGCATTTTGCAATACCACCCCATGTCTGTCCACAGACATTTACTGAAACATTAGCTATCCATTGTGCGTTTAATAACGGACAGGGACTGATTGAGGATGACTTTCAACTGTAATAGTACAGCATTTGTTTTACAATTATGCGCCTTTACCTTGTTTTCTAATCCCTCTCATCTTTGGCCTGTTTGAAATGCCTAATCCCTTCTCGGTACTCAACAATATGGTGCTCCCTAACCTGCTGACCTTTGACCTCAAGGTGAACCAGGTACTGTAGCTTGTTTCTCCAGCTTGGTGTGTGTGTCCTGTATGTTTTACCGATCTGATGTTGGGTGTTTACATTTTTGGAAATCGAGGGAAATCTGGTGGTTGATTTTTTTTTTCCCAGTTTTTATGGGTCCCCAAGTTGTGAGATCATACAAAACAACTTTGATGTTTCCATGAAATCATTCTGTGCACAACTTCTGGTAAGGCTGGAACAGACGGTTCAGTTCACAGAAATAGACATCCTTAGGCTTTGCTGTCATTGCTGTAAATGCAGCAAAAGCTAATGTAGGAAATCCCAGGATTACTCTTGGTAATTTTCTACCCTGTTTTTACACTATGTTGAGCAGAAACAGGAAATTCTTATGTCATCCAAGGTCTTTGAATGGTGAGAATCATCACTGTTCACACTGTGTGCTGCTCCAGTTGGGGACAATGGAAAGGAAATATATGAAAACTGAAACACAAAGTTAAGAAGCTTGAAATGATAGAGACTCAGAACCTAGCACTTCAAGTATAAACAAGAATCCTAGAAGACTTCCTGCACCGAATACTCCCAAGCATCACTGTAATGCAAAGAATACTGAGAGACTGGCTTGAGTAATGACATGTGCCCTCATTATAAAGAAGGGCTTGTGTTACAGTAATTGGTGCCCAATGTTTGATGTATAAACACTTTACAAAATATGCTTGTGTTAAAGTATATCAGTCAATTGATGCAAATGAAAAAGCCATTAAGCAAGATAATACTGCAGTATCTGTTTCAATGATTTTTGTCGCTTGTACATACCAGAAATCAGATGTTTTGCATGTACATAAACAAGATTTTATGTTGTTGCTGCTTTTTGTTAAGTAAAAAGAGGAACAACTTGTCAGGTGAATGAAACATATTACCTGCTTTTTATGTGAAACACAGGCTGTTCCTCTGAATCGTTTGGACTTCTTGCTTTCCCGCCCTTCACCTTTTGAAAGCGTACTGCAATATTTCTTGTGGCGGCTGTTTGAGTTGCTGGCAATTGTAGGCGTACTAAATCTTTTCACCTGGATTGGCAAAAGCAAAGTCAGTTTTTAGACATTTGTGGTGTATTCTTAAAGGGGGGGGGGGAAGTTGGATGTTCTGCAAGGCAGTCTGTCACAGGGTTCTCATGCTGACCGTCTTCCTGACACAGGCTTCCCGGGAATAAATGGAGAGAAAGGAGACCCTGGACCCCCGGGACTGGATATTCCTGGTCCCCCAGGGGACTTCGGTAGCCCAGGATCTCGTGGGTCTCCGGGAGTCCCCGGCCCTCCGGGACTGCCTGGCCAGTCTGGCCGAGACGGGTTACCAGGGCTGCCTGGTGAGTGAGCCGTGCACTCCTGAAATGTGTAGATGTTCCATCACCATTTCATTTTTCTCGATTGTTCACTGATGTTGTCAGAACCAGTATTATTAAAGTAGCGATGAATGCCAGATTTTCTAGTCCTAGATGAATGTGTCCAATGGGCCTGTATAGAGAAAATTCAGCAAGTCGATGTCGATGAAATTATCAACGCAACGGATCAGTTATAGAATGTGGAGTATGTTACCAAACCTCAGGGTATGATTCTAAATATTTTCCTTCCCTACCTTAGGTCAAAAGGGAGAGATGGGTGTCATGGGGACCCCAGGCCCCCAGGGCCCTCCTGGCAGTACTGGCCCCTCTGGATTCCCAGGATCCAAAGGTATCTGTCCTACCTGCCCTCCAGTGCCCTGTCTTGTTAAAGACTGTGAATAACACAGCTTCTGGAGAGTCAGGAGACTGTTGTTGTTCATCACATGCACACTGTAACCTGGAGTTTAAACTGCCTTTGCATTTTAAATCACCAAGAGCCTTGTGGAAGAACCTGGCAGCCTGTTTTTCTTTCTCCCATTTCAAAATACTGAATTGCCATGACATTGCTAAAGGGGTAAGTTGGCATCTGTAGACTAGGGAATTTCATGGTAATCAATTCCTAGCAGTTGCTGGTCGCAGGTCTTGCTGAGAGTGACTTCCTGGAGTATTGAGGTTCAATTATTAACCAAGATTGGAAATTGAGAGCACTGAGATTGGTATTGAAACACCTTTCTGTGCAGCTTGGAATAGTGAAATGGTCCCAGCACAGAAAGTGACCTCCACTATTGTGCTTCTTTCACTATGTAATTTTCCTGTGACAAGCTCTTCAGGATTCTTCAGGATTCCCTTTTTCCCCTCAGGCGATGCTGGGTTCCCCGGTCAACCAGGAAGCCGTGGGCCTGAAGGATTTAAGGGAGATAAGGGTGATGCTGGCCTGCCAGGCCCTCCTGGACCCGTCATCCCAGCAGCAGATTTGAAGGGACAGAGGGGGGATCCTGGGCCACCAGGTAGGAATTTGTCAGTGACGGGGGTGTAGGATTGTGCCTGTTTCAGAAGTGCCTGTTTACAATGCATTGTAAGATTTGTAAGAAACGCTATGACTGTATCTCCTGTTCTAAAAGAGAAATGCACAAAGGATTAGTCATTTATTCTAGCATTTCCCTAGAGAAGGGTTGGTACCTTTAGAATAGTGAATTTACTTTCTCCTCACAATGTCAGCTGCAGCTTTGAAGATGTGATGGAAGTGTGTAGTATGCCCTTTAGAGAGACTGTGCACTTTGTGAGGAAGGAGAGAGAGGATGGGTTAGTAGCTGGTGATTGTAGGCAGCAGCTCCATGGAAGGGGAGTGTAGAACACACAGGAATAAACCTCCCAGAGGTTGTGTCCAAGGATTCTGGGCCTTGCTGGAGATGGATGGGGCTACTGGCTTCCTGGAGGGATAAGCCTCACTCCCCCTCTCGCCCAGTAAAAAGAAAGCAGTGAAAAAAATTATTGGAGATAATAAGAGCTCATAACAGGTCGATTCTGACGAGAACAGGAAAGCCAAGGTCAGCATTAATAACAACACATCAAGTAAGTCCTTTCATAGATGCTCTTATTTCAGTGCTAAAAGCATAAGGACTAAAAGGCAAGAAACCCAGCCCCCTACATTAACCCTCCTGATCAGTGCCATCCCATATTGTACATTTTAAAGATTCAAGAAAAGTGTTTACAGGCAATTGTGAATAAAAGTTAAAATTATGTCCCTTCATTATGGAGTGAGAATAGTACATTATTTTGATATTGCAATGAGATGATCTCCATCCACTGATTTACCAGAGCAAACACAGCAAGTGAGGCATCTTCCAGTGGGTTACTGTTATATAGAGATGCTATCCCTGCAGCTACATAAAAACCTACAGTACCTGCAGCGAATGCTATCAAGATTTGTAATTACGGGCTTCAGTTCACCACATGTGAACTAACACTCGAAACACTTGCACACCTAGGTCTGACTGAATAAAAGTTGATTGCACAGTTCACTCGGGATCCATGTCTGTTACTTTTGCCTTGCAGGGATCAATGGAGTTCCAGGGCAAAAGGGGATTCAGGGTCTCCCAGGAGACAGCGGTCCACCAGGACTGGACGGCAGGCCAGGGCCACCAGGACTCCCAGGTCAGTGAGGCAGCTGCTCTTGGACGGCAGTGTAGACATATCAATGATGCATGGCTTTCACACTCCTAGAAAAGGGCCCTGACTTGCTCGTGAAAGGATGTCATTTTTTGCATGGATATTCCCATAGCGCTTATATTTCTACGTGGCTAGTCTCTCATTAACTGGGGAAGCCAAACATGTCAGTGAAGAATTTAAAAAAGTACATCATTACAGAATGCAAGAGAAACCCTGGTTACATACAGCTGTGGCCAGCGGTTTTTAAACTCAAAAGAGCTTTAGGTAGCAAATGAACAAGTAATAGGTTAATTCCATGCTGAAAATAGACGAAAGAAAACACAATGTTTTGGCCGTGGAGCCTTCTTTAGGTGTGAGCTCGCATCTCACACCTTGCTCACACCTGAAGAAGGCTCCATGGCAGAAACGTGTTTTCTTTCGTCTATTCTCAGCATGGAATAAACCTATTACTTGTTCATTTGCAGCCTACACATGCTGACACACCTACCCACCTGAACTACTAGAGTTTTAGGTAGCTCATTACAGATTAACCCAGAGTGATGCAAATGTTTTGGCCATATTCTGTAATTTTAGTTAAAACTGATTTTGCATTGGCAGGGCAAGAAGCTTGCTGTAGAGTTGAGGGTGCAGCTGGGAAACTTAATTTCTTTGATCTGCAGGTCCAAAAGGAGAAGCAGGGATACCAGGACAGCCAGGAAGTCCGGGCTTCCCCGGGACAAAGGGCAGCATGGGAGAAATGGGCTTTCCTGGTGCGTAACTTATCTCTTCACTGTCCTGGTCCACCACACTGTCGGCCTACACATCAGTGCCAGACTGCGGTAGATTGAATCAAATGCTTCTCTCTGTTTTTACCCACATTATTTTCCTCAAGGCGTTTGCCTCTAAAAGAGAGTCTGCTGCTGAGACAGATTCTGTTACAACTCTAAAAGCAACCTATTTAAGTGTAATTGTTCATGCAGACACAGCAAACTTCTTCCTACTGAGACCTGATTGTCATACGCTGGCAGAAATTGTGATTTAATTCAATTGCATATATGCTTTTGTATAAATGTTATCCCCATTTCTGTATAGAATCAGAAATAACCATTAAACATTCAAGGAGTACCAGATCTATTTTAAAGCTTTTATAACTCATTTCCTCTCCAAATTTGTTCTAAATCCTTCTGAATCCTTGAATACTTAATGTACTGTATTCTGATAACTGAGTTTTTTATAAAGGTATCAGCTATATGATCAGAAGAAGAGTTGACAAACTGATGTGATGTGACAGGGATATTTAAATGATTCCAAGAGCATTAAAAAAAAGTGTGAGTTTGATCGATACGGCATGGTGACTCTGACACCTGTTTGCTTGGTCTTAACTCATCATCTGGGCTCCACAGGTCCCTCTGGTGTCAAAGGTTCCCCTGGTCTGCAAGGTCCACCGGGCCAGTCTGGCCAGCCCGGAACCCCTGGGTTCAAGGGAGATAAAGGTGATCCTGGACCTCCAGGAATCGGAACCCCAGGTTTTCCTGGGGCCAAGGTACAATGCTAACCTCACACCTACTGTACCGACACCCGTTTGATTCCATTGAAAGGAGGAGCTGGACCAGTGGACCAGAGATATTCCAGTCACTCATTAAAATTTCCTGTCGAGAAGGAAATAAAATATGCATCTTATAAAGTTTCTTTACAGAGTGGAATTTTAAAAAATATGGTGCAGTTCATAAGTTTGTTGGGTTTTCTCAAAAATATCAGGAATGTTAATTGTGATTATAAATGTCATTTATGTATTATTACTGCAAAAACACTTTTGTACAAAATAAGGACCAATCTGTGCAAGCTACAAATATGGGAAGAATTATTTTCAGTGTTTGTGTTTTTAATATGTTGAGAGGAAGTATGAATGTGCATTTTTGTACTCTTAAGAAATTCATGACTTGTTAATATCCAAATTGAAATTACTTAATTTAGGAGTCTTGTCCTCAATATCTCATACGTCAGAGGTGATGAATGGTCAAAGTTGAACTCTGGTATTTTGAAGGTTAAAAAAGAGCACTTGTTTTAGATGTTCAAGAGTCTAACCTTTTTAGTCTAACCGTGTTTTTGTAACCTTTTTGTTTCAAAACAACATATGATGCTTGAAAATGAGAAAAGTGACTAGTTGTCGCATTATGCATTGGTGAATAACATCCTGCACACAGCTATGGAATCTTTACTTCCGCTTTGTGCTATCTTATAGGCAAATTGTTTAGAAACTAGTGCCATCACAGTGTGCAGGTAGTGAAAGATACTGTTTCTTGAGACATACATGACCAAGTTATATTTTCAAAAGACTAAATGAAGACCTTACCTTTTCTCTTTACAATGTTTTTATTTTACTTAACCTAAAACACCAGCCTTTCAAAGTTCCAACTAATTTTCTCATTATAATAACTAGTACTTCCTGGTGCTTAATTTAGAATCTTTGGTAATTCAGGATTACTCCTGCTACTCTGCTACGAAAGCATGTTTGAAAATCTGGTTTAATATGTTTTGCATTGATTTAGCAATGTACTGAAATACTGAAAAAAAGACTGTCCGGGTTTGATTAAAGCATTCAAGCTTGTGGTTTTAACCCACTTATAGCTATAAGCAGGATTTTATCATACTAATAAAAGAGCTCCCCATCTGTGGCAAGACTGGGGATGTTATTAATGGATATCAGTGCCTGCTTTACAAAAACTGTGAGCTTAAAAAGAGGGTTTGAACTACGTTAACTGGTACACTTATGGAACAACAGACTTTAGAATGTTCTTTTTAGAATTTTGACTTTTCCATAATTTTCCACTGAAGACCAAACTTCAGTGGGGTTTCTAGAGCACTTTAACTCATCAGAAAGAGGAAGAAAATGTGGGACCAGAACATCTTGAATAGACTGCTATGTTGGGATTTAACTTGTTTTCTGTACTTTTCTCAGGGAGAGTCAGGCCAGCCAGGTTTCCCTGGTCTCCCAGGAACAAAAGGCTCATCAGGGACTCCAGGACTGCCAGGTCTCCCAGGAAGCCCGGGCATCAAGGGGGATCCAGGACTGCCAGGATTTCAAGGTACAAGAACTCCTGCAGGGATCCCCCAACCCAATGGAAATGGGCTCCTCAAGGCCCAGAGGCCTTGCAGCCATATGAGTCTTCTTAATGGCTCACCAGACGTACTACTGGGAAAGGCTGAACCGTTCCAGCTGGGCAAGCAGTTGGACACTTATCTCTGATGGACTTGAGTCAGTGGAATTTTCAGTTCATTTGACACCCGTATTTGACACAGCCTTTCTTCTACTGCAGTTTTCGATGAGAAGAAGAAGCTCAGTATTGTTCTCACCTCAAATCGGAGCTAATTTTTTTCTGCATCAGGTCGTAGTGTAAATATTCGAATAAGGAGTTCAGGCCGTGAAAAATGAAGTTTCAATATTTTGAACATTTTCTAGTAGTACAGTATATATGTTTT